AACTTAAATTCTTACAGAGTAGAAAATCAATAAGCAGAAAATTTTAGTCTTTTAACAAAAATATTTGAATATAACCTACCCCACCTTGTTCTCACATACAGAAAGAGAGAGAGGGGAAAAATATCAACATGGAGTGTGTTTTATGGAAAGTTTTGTCACAAAACAGATACATGTTCTAAAGTTTCCAGTTCTAAAGTTTCTATCAACCATTTCAGATCTATAGTCAGACCTGGCTTGACTGAAGAGTGTTCTTGAGCTAATGTCTCTCTTTTTCAAAGTTAGTGATAAATGCAATATACTTTATGTAATCTCTGTCAAAAGATATTTACGAAATTCTACCTGACAGAACACCGAACACCCAGGAAAACGTTAATGGTTTCTGCTCCAAGGCATGCAGCTGAAGAACTCTGAAGTGAATCCCAAAAGAATGTCAGGCTGTTTCATAAATTCCACATGTATGGAATTTGTCTGAGCAATAAGGAATGAACAAGATCCTTAGATGACTTTGTCTTCCTACCTAGGAGACAAACTGCAAGGTACATTTGCAATTCCTTCTCATTTTACATAACTGCATATGATTAAATCAGAGAAACCAATCAGGTTGAATGACTCTTGATATAGGTGCTTTTGTTGCAAAAGAGTGTAACAAATAAGAAAAGTGTGCTGGATCAGAATGAAGTCTGTCTAGTCCACATCCTGTTTCCATACTGGCTTACTTAAACACAGTTCTTTTTCATGTTAACTAGTGAAACATTAATTAGAGATGCAAAAGTTAAAATCTATTTTAATATTAATATATTTAATATTTACTTTGGTTTACAAGCAAAAAGAGAGGTGCTGGGGTTCAAGAAACACCTCTTTGGATGTTTGTTGTGGGAAGGGGAAAGTACACGGCAAGTACTGGAAGATATTCTTTTTTCCCAGCAAACCTATAAATACAGTAGAAACAGTCCTAACTAATGAATACTGGAGCACACTAGTTCCACGATCCTAACATTAGCTCTAAGAAGTCCAGCACCAGGGAGCTCAATTAAACACTTGTTCCAACTGTTAAAATCATTTGGCCATACATAAAGGTGGATGGGGGTAAACACCAAGCTCCCATGATGGGAACCAATGAACCTCTGTGGCACGTTGTTTCTGCTGTACAACAGAAGTAGCAATTTCCAGGGAAATGGTGCTAGAAGAACAAATGTTATTAACACCCCATTTGACACATTTTAAAGTAAACTGCGACCTTGAAGTTAGGTTTTGGGGTCTAAGCCAGAGAGTTACAAGAATTTCTTTTTTGTTTGCAAGTCATCAGAACTGTCAAAAGACAGAAGCACATTTCTTTAAAACTGCTTGCACGTTACCAAGCTTATTGTGTTCGAAATATGCATGTTCTTGTAAAATTAGCACTTCAACATCTGTCTTTCTAAAAAGTCATACATTTTCATGTTTTAATCAATTGTGGTAAAAGTACATGTTTTCCCCATTGAAAATGCACACTTTGTTTGAAAGAAAAGAAAAATCAGTTGTAAATGTGAATATGAGTGTGACAAACACAGCTTTGCAGTTTGAAGAATCTTGGTGAGTTTCAGTGGCCCTGGTTGTCCCATCCCTAATTTAAGCAGTGATGGTTTGCCATACAGATTTCAGAGCACCAGCAGTCTTGAAAAAGGGCTCCTCTCATTTTAAATCAGTGTATGGACACACCATCAGGAAGGTTCTAAAAACTTTCCTCCATGTTATTTTTGACAGTATCTGCTTGTAGCTGGTACCAGTGTGCTAGCAAGAAGCACAGCTGGACTGTTGGGGTTCTCTGCACAGAGTTCCAAATAGGTGCCTCTGCTTTACCCAAATGGAAGAGAAGGAAATCCAAGGCAAGCTGCTGACTGGACAGGATCTGTCATTCAGTTCTCACATTTTGTGCCTTCTGAAGGTTTTCTCTAAGCAAGAGGCCAGGAACTGAAAGAAAGGATTGATTTGTGAAGCTCACAAGCAAACCATGATCACAACAAATTTCTTTGTTGTTTATCCCTGGTACATGGTATTGAGAGAGAGAGAGAGAGAGAGAGAGAGAGAGAGAGAGAGAGAGAGAGAAGAGGCGTATATTATTTGTGGCTGCATGCATCAGAGAGAGGGAGAGAGTGAAGGAAGGAATGAAGAAGGAAATCAAACAAGCATATGCTGTCATCTTCCAGGCTCTGGTTTTATGTTTCTAAGTCTCTAAAATGGGTAGAAGTTTTCTCGAGTATCCTTTCAGAAAACTCCTCGACCATATATGTTATTTTATAGGTGATGTGGACTTTGGAGGCTTGGTTCATTTCTCTTTAGGTATCTGTTCTGTCTATCTTTTCCTGCTTTTGGGTTGTGATAGTAGTTGTCTGGATTGCCCTCATATCCTCATGTAGGTGGTAGTGCTTGCGGAAATAGAACTTGTGAGTACATGAAGTAGTTGCAGGCATTCAATGAACAGCATATGTGTGTCCTCTGCCTCCTGATGTTCCTCCACTGATGGGAGTTGGGACTTCTAATACCCTCATGGGTTCCAAATCACATCATGGGACTTCTCAATAGGAAAACACAAGCATTAACAGGGTAAACAAAGAACTGAAATGTTCTCCATCTGAAATCCAATCACTAAAGGGGAAAATCTAATCCACATAGAAAGTCTCCTGCCTCCACTCTCTTTTAATGTTCTTTAGCTGCAGTTTTTCTCCCTCAGCCCAGTTTTTTCCTACCAAAGTTGATGCTAATCCCCATTCTACTGTGCTCCTTAAACTAATAAAAGATTAGAGTGACATTTCAGAAAGGGCATCACATTAAGCAGCAGCTTTCACCATCTCAACAGATCACACAGTGCAAAACACAGCCAGCGAGCAGGCCATTAATCTTATGGTAATGAGGTGTCATTCCGAATGGAGACCTCCTCCTTGATCAATATGAAGGGCACGGGAATAATGAGGACACTGATGCTCAGCGCCACGGGTAACTTTTCCAGGAAGGAGAGGATCCATAAAATGCTGTGATACCACAAACAGCCCCTTGTCACGACTGCATTCTGCTATCAACAATGGGGAGCAGGCGCCCGCTCTGATCTGTCACCTCATGTGTTGTCTGCAACTAATGAGCCTTCCCCTATGTTCTAATTAGTGACATAAAACTGCTGTAACAACTCTGCTTTTGCTATAACATGGAATCAATTAGGATTAGCTACAAAATAAAGAGTCTGTTTTCATGGCTATCCCACCAGGCTATAATCACTGGTGAAAACCCTTACGATGGGTAGACAGGCTAGCTCAGACCTAATGATTGGCCTTTCTGGTCCAAGAGAGAGTTTGCTGAAGCCAATATACTGCCTAATTAGTCAATACGTTGCCAGCACAGAAAGCGGCCTACTGAGTTTGCTGCCATGCTCTCTCATATAACGCAGGCCTCTAAAAGGAACAGACAGCAACGCCAAACTGAGCTAATTACCCATCCTACTTTGTTTCTGGAGTATTAAAAAGAATCACATGAAGAATTAAGGCTCCATAAGCAGTTTCCTGTTTCCTCATACATAAAATTGGCCCTTTTAAGTTTACTATGCAGGGCAATAGGATCCCTTTTAAATAAAAGATACTATCTTTGGTTCCTCTGGGACATCAGAAATTATCATGACTAGAGACAGGATGTTGGAAGCTAATCAAAATGTCCTTTGACGCAGGGTTGACTTTTGCTCACTTTCAGAGCAGCTCCATATTTAGGGTGCTTCCAGACAAGGCTTTTATTGTGTAGTTATTTTGCTCATTTATGGAATTTTAGAGGCAGTCCAGGCATCACCCTCATCCCCTTGTAACCTTCCTGATTTTTATCACCACTTTTCCATCTTTTTTCATACCGTAAATTTTCTGTTAAGGACAGCACAATGGAAGAGCTGCACAGTGACTTTTGACTGATAGTACTATAAGTTGTTTGTTCAGAAGCACCCTTCACATAGAAGTTGCAATTGCCACACATACTCTCCAAGTTTGCACAGCAAATGTATGAAGTGTGAACCACAGGCAGACTGCTTTGGCTGCTGACCTGATGTCCTTGGTCCACTGCTTTATATCATTATTTTGAACTATGGAAGGCTCCTTGAATTGTGTGTGTGTGTGTGTGTGTGTTTTGCACCAGAAGCATGGGGAATAAATATTTAAATGTATTTACTGAATTAAAAACCCAGGAACCCTGACTGGGCTTCTCTGTACACTGCACATTAAAATTACAGATAACATTTGCAATGTACATTTTAGTTCTGGGAAATATCAGTATATTTCTGGCAAACACAAGTGATGTGTATAATGCTTGCTCTAGAGGTTGATGATCACCATATGCATGGTCAGAAAATGATTTTTTTCTTCAGCATGAACTTACGTTTGGCTTTGCTTTTCTAAATCTTACTTATTGTAGGCATGGCTTGGCTTCTTTGTAGAAGACACCTATTGTTATGTACTCTGTGATATTTTTTTCTTTATTTGTGGCACTAACAATCTATGGAATCTATGGAAGATACTGGGTATAAAGAACCTCTCTGATCCAAAGGGTAAACGGCTCTGCCTCATCATATGGAACTGGACTATATGGCTCATGATTTGATACTTCCCCATTTCTCCCCATTTAAAAACCTCTCCAGACCAGTATTCATTCAACTAAAAGCCACAGGCCTCTGATTGGAAGTGATGATGGAAAGGTAGCAAAAAGCACCAAACTTGCTTGGAAACCTTTGCAGTAATCAAATGTCTATAAAATATTGGATTTAGTCAATTTTTTAAACATGAATGTTGGGAATAAGTGAAAAGAGCCCTCTTTCCCCCACTCATTTTCATTGCATCTTTCCCCAATAAACTGATAAGGAACATTAAATAGAAAACAAAAATGCTAAACACACATACATTGTATGCATAAAGTGTCAGAAAAATATCTAAGAAAAGGCATGCAATGTGGTTTTAACTGTTAAAGGAAAGCATCACTTTTTAAGAGAACAGACTTACCTGTATATAGTTGTGGGCGGAGAGCTCATTGTGTCATAGCTAAGCCTCACATGACCTTGATACAGCTCTAAAGCCAAAGGATCATTGTCCCCTTTGTATAATAAGATGCCGTTGTCTTTATCGGTTGCTACCTTTGAATGTCAAAGTGAAGAAGATTAATGCTGATACAAAAAAAAGCAAAGGCATAAACATAATTTATTTCTCTTCCCTTACAATGAGGATTATTTCATGGACAGTTAAAGAATACCAAAACATTTCTCCCCATGCCGCTGCACTCACCTATGCAGTTATGATAATTTGTTTATGTGGACTATTTCGTTTGTAGCATTTGCAGACATTCCAAGAGGCATCCCTGCGTGCCCGGGACACGGAGCGACTGACCACAACTATTCTGCATATTGTATGAACAGAGCTTTGCTGGCAGAAATGCTCTTGATCAGTTAATAAACTGAATACACACAATTTCTATACTGTAAGAAACACCAGAGAAAAAGACCTGCACGAAGAAGCAATGCTTATACCAGACATCTGGCAGGCCAGTTTTGAAGTGCAAAGCTTGCAAATATATGGAATCTGAAATGGACTTCAGGACTGCTGCTTATCTGCTTTTAAAGCACCCAAAGTGGATAACATATTTCTTTAAACAGTATAGAACACCCTAATAAAAATAATTTTACTTCAGGAGGGCTTTATGCCACCTCCCGCACAGCTCAAAATGGTTTAACAATAAAACATAATAAATTTCTAGAAACTTAATTCATACATAGACTACTTAGGGAAACAATAGCATTATCTCTTCAGAGGTTAACAGAATCCAATTCCCATCTGCCCCAACCATCAAGGCCAAACAGCAGGAATGACGAAGCAAGGCATCCTGCTATACACACTTTCCAGCAAGCAAGTCCCATTTAACTCACTTGGTTTTAGTTCTGAATACCTGTGCATAGAATTGCATTATCAATACCTCAAAAGAACTTGGATGCCCTCTTCACTTCCGCCACTAGCATGGCAAAGCCAGTTCCACAGATTCTATGCTATAACTAGTCAAGCTGCAAATGTATTTTCAAGGACGTGCATTATTGTTATCATCCCTATAGCTTCTGTAAATAACCTCTTATATACTTATTTGTTTAAAGGACTCAGAATATGGACTTTCAGGCAGCTACCAAGAACAAATGTTGGTTCCAATTATTTCTGCTGCCAGTATGTCAACAGGTTTTTGAATGTACAAGACAAATGGCAATATTTAGAAGCTAAATATTCACATTAAAAGAAAAATCAAATGAAATACTCTCAAGTTTGTAAGATAAAAGTGACTTTTTATTTATGTATGAGTTCTTTTCATTAGGAAGCTCTCTTTAACCCTGTTTTAAGAGGTGCTTAGTCAAAACTAATTTTTTTACTTGAGTGGCAATTAGCTACCAGATGGAGAAGCAATATTTCAACTGCAAAATAAGCTTTGAGAACACCATCTGTGTAAAATCCATGTAGTAAACAAGTCTGGCTCTCATGTTACCATCCAAAATATATTTTTGTTATAAACCTGTTTTCAAAATCTAGCGCAAAATGTAGCCTTTGAAACTGAATGTCTTTGAGCTTATAGCTTATGTTACATGTTTTGTGTCTTTATTCCAGAGTGGAGAGAAACAGCTAGGAATATTAAAAATTGCAAGTAAAATATTAAATTTGTCCTCTTTTTGTGCTTACAGGTATCTTATAAGGTAAGACATTACTCTTCCTCAGTAAGACATGTGTAAACCATATCAAGCCCTTATGAAAGGAAGCAGATTAATTTAATCATGTTTAAAAACATGTTAAAAATCATGTTAAAAATGTCAAGTGCTGCTTTTTTGTGATGGCTGCAACCAGAATTACTTGATTCCTTGTGCTGGCATCTCAGTGGGAAGCAATGTTTGGCATACTATAGGGCACAGAAGGAGACCTGAAAGATTTTTATACTAGAACTGGATTAACCAATCTTATAAGCATGACTTACTTGAAGAGAGATATTTGCCTGAGGGCAGATTTTGGCTAGTGGCAGCTCGACGTAGGAATCCTTCCCAACAAAATTGACAGTAATGAGTTTCTCGCACTTCTGACCAGCGAAACCAGCCAGGCAACGACAGATTGGCTCCTGGTGTACTACAATGCACTGTGCTCCGTTTTGGCATTCATAATAGTCACAAGGACTGGTCTGTAGCAGAACCATTGGTGGTGGATTTTCACAGAAGAGACCACTTTAAAAACAGGAGAAGTGAATGTTATTCTGAACTCATCAGCATTAGGCAGAAGTTTAATGATACAAGGTTTAAATCTAACTGCTCCAACTATGTATGGAGGTGGCTAATACTAGGCCAATTCTGAATTAACATGGTCAGATCTCAGGTTGATTTCATAGTGATTTTTAAGCATGCACATAAAAATACAACAGAATGGGTATCATATAACTATTACCAAGACATTTCTGAAGAAAAGGTTTCCTGCTCGTTCATAAATAGTTATCCCAGGGAAAACTGTATAGATAACCCATGTTACATATATGTTTAGTGGTACAATTCATAAGCCTTCATGAGCAGGAAATATCATATATTAATCACTTCTACACACTCAATGGAAAATCTTCAATTTCAGAAATATGGCTTCTTCAAAAAAGAATCAGCTAGAAAAACAATCCTTTAAAATTCTTATTTTTAAAAAATGCCTGAATCATTTGAATGCTAAATATTCAATTAGGATAGATATTCCTGTGACACTGGGAAAGAAAAATAACCAACTTTTCACAATTAAATCATTCAGACAAAGTCATGCAGTAGCAATTGTATAGCTTTGCTATGACAGTTCTGAACATAAACACTTTGCAAGCATGTGCTTTGCAGTTACCATTGTTGCACTTTTTAAAAGAAACTTTCAACTCACTTTTCACTTGTCCTGTTCATGCCTGTATTCTGTCTACAGTCTAATTAAAAACCGAAAGCAATTTAACTAGAATTCAACTCTTTTTTCCAGCAATATCTGCTCCTCTCTTTTAAAGAGAAGGTCAAAATAGGCACGATATACGTCACATGATTTGCCCTTGCATATGCGATTTCTGAAATATTAATAACTGACACAAGGAATCTGAGCTTGAGCAGGACTGTGCAGGTGAGGAAGTTTTATGATGTTGCTCCTGCCATGATGCCAATGGGAATGATCCACCACGTCTCCTGCTGGCAATGGGAGGAAAGCTCCCATTATCACGAATGGGAACTCTTATCCCATTGTAAATAGCAGGCACAAGGAGGTAGAGTCTAACTGGAGACATGGTAGTAGCCTGGCTCTACTCACAGCAGAATCCTGATCTGGCTCACTGCTCCTATTTCTTTATTTAAATTAAATTCCTCAATTATGAAAGGACAAACTACACATCAAATATCACATCTAATTTAACCCCCACCAAGAAGAAAATAAAAAGTTATCTCTAGTGTCACTACTAGTTTCTGAGTCTTACTGCAAGCAAGAGAACTTTGGTGCTCCCTCATACAAAATAGCAGCAAAATAGGCAGGCTGCTATTAATTATGAGCAAAGAGGCTCATGCATATTCCTACATGGAAATGAGATGCATGTCACAAAATTGTTACATGTTGTTAAACTGTTATTTCCCTTCATATTCCAGTACAAATGCTTCAGCTAACTGATCCATAATGCAAGAATCTGGAAAAAGTTGTTCCAGCTTAGGCCTTTGAGTAATAGTGGCACCGATCCATTTTCCCCCCTGCAGCATTGTTGTGGCATTCTTTGCTTTCCAGACCCTTTGCTGTCCCCTGTGACCCAGGCCATGTCAGATGGGGAGGGGACTGTGCTCTTTCAATAAGAGGAGACCTAATTGTTATCTAAACAGCACATTGAAATGGTATGCCCTTTAAGGCAGTGCTCCCCCAGTTTTCAAATACTCCTAGCTTGCATCATCAAGCAGGCAATGTGGCTAAGCTGAGACAAAGAGGGAGGTTTCTTTCATCCATCAATGCGTGCCCCCAAGTTCCCTTTTAAAGCAACTTTCAAAAGGGACCAACAATTTACCTAGCGTAACAATTGCAATTGGCATATTCTGATCGTTTGGAGCCAAGACATCTTGGGAATAGCTGATATGATGAAAGTCACACCGTAGCATTGGAAGAGGTAGAGTGTTTTCCGCTGTGATGTGCAACCAGTCCCCAAAGACATTCTAAATACTTGCCAGTTCCTTGTTGCAACAAACTTCCTTTTAATGGATTTGTAGTAAAAGTGAGCAGCTATAAGCTAATGCATGAGGCAAAAGTGTGATTTATAAACTGAAAATGGGGGTAAAACTGAGGGTAAAGGGATACATATAAATAGTGTAACACAGTTACTCAGATGGCAGCTTTCTGTATACAATTAAATTTATTCTGATGTAAGTGTGCAAAAGGTTGTAGTCCACCTAAAGGAAGACAAAAGCTTTCTAATGAAGGTTAGTAGAACATAAGCTTTGGGCATGATTCCATGCAACTATGCTGGCTGGGAGTAATAGCCCCTTTTCTGCCTAAACTTGCAAAGGATTGTGCCTTATCTTATTCAGACTAAGGCTAATCAAAAGACTCTGCACTATGCCAGAGTAAAACAAAACAAGAAAACTTTATAGACATGCAGAGATCTACTATAGCAAATTGAGCGGAAAAAATCAACCAGATCTGGGAGAAAATCCTTCATAATTTTTATATGGTAAAGAAATTACATTTGTAAAAGCACAACACATATTTTGACTAGCCTGATGCAGGTTTTTATACCTTTGGACTATGCAAGGGAGTCCAGATGTGACCATCTTTACCCACTCAAAAGTAGGGGAAAGCATGCTGAAACCCATTGCAGGCCCTCAGAGGAATATCTCTTCAGTTTCATCACATGCCCTACATAGCTCAGCTTTACTCAAAGTAAAGCAGTCAATGCCTACAGCTTCTAGAATTTACGTTCTCTGTGACAGAGATCAGTTCTGTGTGTGCTACAATTGCTTGCCTTTGTACTTCTATATATCCTCCTTTCCAATGCCTCAATCAGCCTCATTCTTTAAATTTCCATTCATGTATTCATCCTAACTAAGATTCCAGCACACGTGTTAATGTGCATGAAGCCTAAGCAATGAAGGGGGGATGTTTCTATCCATGCAGGGTCTGCAACCACTCACTGCTGCCTGACTTTATCACCATTTTGAATCACACAGTATTAGCATTACTTGCACACAGATCTGATGTTCTCTATGAGGACATTATTAAATTCAAAATAGCAGCACGGTATAATGGACAAGGGTAGCAGGCAGATCCCAGTCCAAAACCGATTTGAAAACAGATTCAGGCATCTTGATCTGAAATCTAAATTTGCCATATTCAGGGCCCTTTAGAATTTGTTCAAAGACATCCAGACAGCGATGAGCCTTCTGACTTGCAATTATATTTTCCAGTTTTGAATGTTGAATCAACAAGAATGCTGCTAACACCGCCAATCTTCATTAATAGAAGGACTTGTGGCAGAGACATTCCTTCTTTCTGTGAACATTTGAAACATAAATCAAATGAAAGAAGCACCACATTCCATAAACCTTCAGCTTCTTATCGAAATCTAATCCTGTCTCAGTGTCAGGCAAAGGAGAAAAGAGACAGGCTGGAGCAAATTCTGAGATTGACAATAACTTTTCTATGACTTAATGCTCTTGCAGCTCTCTCTCATCAACAAGCAAACACAGTGTGAAGTCAAAATACAGTACTGTGTTTCAGCACTATTTTTGCCCTTTGCTCTCAGTCATCATCTCATCTTAAATAATACATTTCAACACTCCTCTAAATGAAAGAACCTCAGCTACTGGAAGGTATAGCAATTAAATACATAAAATAGATAAAAATAAACACACTAACCTATTTTTTCATTCATAGCACAAGACTTGGCAGTGCTGCACAAATATACACCATAAGTCTGCCATAAACATTGATAAGAAACCTCCTTATGCATTGTTCTGAGCAAGAACAAGACTGATCAAGAAAGGGATCTTGGGGCAGTAGTGGAAAGCTCCATGAAAATGTCGGCCTAGTGGACAACTGCTGTGAAGAAGAACTTCCCACAAAGTATAGTAAACTATGGAATTTGCTGCCATGGGAAGTGGTGATGACTGCCAATCTGGATGGCTTTAAAAGGAGCCTGGACAGATTCACAAGGAATGAGGCTATGAGTGGTTACTAGCCTTGCTGGCTATGTGCTACCTCTTGCAGAGGTGACCTGCCTGCATACACCAGCCCATCCCACTTGAGCAATCCTGTGCACAGCTGCTTGGTCTGAATCACCATGGCTTTTCTTATAATAACCTTATTTTCTCCAGATCAGCATGCCAAATATGACAGTGACTCTGTCACCAAGACACTTATCCCAGGAAACACAGCTGCCAGTCAATCAGAGGAGGCATGTTCTTTCTTTTTAGTATAATGTTGAATGTCATCCTTTTAAAAATTAAAGCCAAAATGGCAGGATATTTTCCCTAGCAAACCAATAAATAAATGAATGCTAATCCTAAACATGTTAATCAAAAGCAAATTTTGTTGATCTTTCTGCAATCTACTCCCAAATATATATGTTCAGGACTGTGGCCTGCATTGTCATATAGTAGCCCAAAGATCTGCTCTAAAAAATACACCGATGGCCTTCAGATTTCTCAACAGTTCTTGTAATACTATAGCAACTTAAAGGTGCTGTTAAAACTTCAGCCTCACCCCATTTGCAGACGGACTTCACTGATACAGCTGTTCAGTGACCAAACTGAACACAGATATTTATTGGGGCACTATTTGTACATCTGACAAGAGGAATGCGAGCCTGCCATCTGGTTCCAACTTGAATGAAGTGCCTGTTGCTGCAGGCTTAGAGTCTGTCGTTTGGTATGATCCCTGTTTACTTAAATGACTGCTGCTGAGATTCCTTGCTGCAAAATATCACAGCAGGGGAACTTTTGAAAGAGCTACATAACAAAGAAATAAAACAACATGCATTATACAAAGCTCACTAGTTGTAATATATGTTTCCCCTCTAGAGTGACACATGCATCAGAAAAAAACAGGTGGATTGCTAAAGGGCAGATTTAACAAATCAGACTCTTACTTAGCAAGGGTTCATGATCTGCAGAGAGAGTTCATGCCAAAACAAAAAGCAAAAACCACAGAGTCAATATTTGGGAGGGAGAGAACATATTGTGTATTTGAAAAG